AAAAAAAAAAAAAAAAAAAAAAAAAAAAAGAGAGAAATTAATAATTAAATAAGAAAAGGTAAACCATTATTTTTATGGTAACACAAAGTGGTACAAAAATCCCTTAGAAACACACAAATCTCATTTAATTTGTGTATTCGTTTTTTCTTTGCAAAATCTTATTTACACTAAATTGTTAATAAATTTCATAAATAAATATAATATACACGTCTTTCTATTCATACAAATAAATCTATTTTTTATATTTTTTTTGTTTTACTCACATATTATGCAGTTTTGTATTAATATTCATCTTTTTCAACTGCAAAACATACAAACTAAATTAAATTTTTCAACAATCCTTCTTCATTGTATCACAATTTTTGTGGTGAAACATCTTTTTGATATACACTAATCAAATTTTATTTTTTTTAAGTATTTTATATATTTTTTTCGTGATAAAATTTAATTCACACACGATTGTTTATATTAATTGTTTTGGACTACAAATGAGAACCATTATAATAAAAAAGATAAATACGAAATCCAAATCTTTATGGAAATCTGATTTTAGAGTGTTTATATTCATACATAAATCTCTTATTTGAACCTAACATTTTGTTTTTAATATTGTTATGCAATAAATGCAATCTAAATATTTTTTTAAACGTAATAAATCATTTTAAAGATTACATTTTCTTTTATTCCAAAGATTAGGTTGGCTGTAAAATGAGATTAAAAGAATAAAATAAATAAAAATAAAATCCGCAAATCGGGGTAACAATTTTATTTTAATGAGAACGCTACAATAAAAAAGATAAATAGTGTAATCTTTTTAGAAATTTGATTTACAAATGTTTATATTCATATAATTAAATCTCTTATATGAATGTAAGAACTTTATTTACATATTGTTATGCAATAGATACAATCTAAATGATCCTTTAAACGTAACAAATTTATTTTATATATTACATTTCAAATTATTCCAATTATTAGAATCAAATTGGTGATTAAATGAGACTAATAGAATATGAGAAACAATTACACAATCTACTAATCATTGTAACCATTTTTGTAATTCTGCTATAATATTCTTTTCTAACCAATTACAAATCATACTATAAATATAAAAGATTTTTAACGATCGTTTTTTTAATTGTATCACGATTTTCTTGGTGGAAATTCTTTTCTTTTGGTATCACCTGAATAAACAAAAATATGTGATATTTACCACATTTAGAAATATTATCACTTTAATTTTATACTATATTTTTTTCTTTGACACGAATGGGAGGCTTATAAGCATCCAACCAAGATAAAAAAAAGCATACACGAAAATACAAAAACGAATATATTGTCAGGCCAGTCTTTTTCGCATGTTGAGTTGTTCTTAAAAAAATATTTTTTTAGTCACAGTCAGTTATATGTTGATGTTTCACGTGTCATTAATGGGAAGGAGTTGGAAATAGTATATTAGTTTGTGGGGGCGAAGAGTTACCCATTAATCAAACTAATAATGTTGTGTACAAGAAGTCTTTTAATAATATATAACTTATCACCAACGAAAAATTTATGATTACTTTACAAATACCATACTTATTATAACTTATTGAGTAAGGGCCTTCAATTTTTAAATTATTCAAAATAAATACAGCTCGTGCATCGCACGAGTTACATATTAGTATCTTTGATCTGTCACGATCCTTAATAGTTGATAAAGATTCTATTAGCTAGTGCCTTTAGGTCATCCATCGTACCATTCTTGCTACTTCAGCTTTTCAACTCTGGTCTGGGCTCGAACTCAACTTGATTTCCTTAACCTGAATCTTCATGGCTTCCCTACAGCTCAACCAATTCTTATTCGGGTCGCACGAGCTACCTCCAGTATGAACAACCTACCTCCAGTCCAATTTGCTGCCTCTGAGCCGCCAACATTATGAAGGAACTACTTCTGCTCCGAGTGAGCTATCTTCTATCCAAGCGATTTCTCTCCAGTCCAAGCAACCTACTTAGAGCATTCACAATGCAATGGGATCAATTTTATATGTGGTGTATAAATGGACTTAAATTTTGAATGACATGAACAAACCCAAGTAAAAAAAAAAAAAAAAATCCTGAAGATATCCAGTGCAAAAATAAAATAAAAGATATTTGTCAACCAATAAAAATGTTATAATATGTTTTTTGTGTTAAAAGAAAAATTAAATTAAGAATAAATTTTGACTGTTCAGGTTTGTATTTGAGTTCAAAATAGACTCAAGAGTGAATTTGATATTGTCACTTCAGTTAGATCATGTCTACTTTTGATTGCATTGAAAAATATTTTTTTATAGACTAAATCTATTTCTTACCTGGCATATGATATTTTTTTAAAAGACTCAAAACATTGTGGATGCTCTAAGAGATGCTATGGAATACCACATCAGAACTCGAGTTTGTTTAGTTAAATGTGTTGGGCATAAGTCTCGTTAAAGCTCGAAATAGTATGCATGTAATTTTTTATAGCTCGATAAAGCTTTAGTTCGGGTCATTAAGGTTTGATTTTGATTTGGTCTGTTTGATAAACGAGTCGAGGTCGAAACTTATTCTACTTTAAAAATATGCCTTACATTTAGTCATTTAGTACACATGAAACATCGTGAGTCCATAGATCATGAAAGAAGATTTTAAAATAAGTCTATTAGGACTGTCCTTTATAATATTAAAATTTTCCAATAAGATTTAGAAAAAGAAACTCATCTTGGACTATTAAAAAGAAAAAGGGTGACACAAAAAAGTTATATCCAATTGGGGACTATTTTCCTGATTTTAATTGTACCATCTGAGAGTATATGCAGTAACATGATTGAATTTTATTGACAGTGAATTGAAGTATATGGTGGGGTACAAAATTTTCATTAAAAAAAAAAATAAAAGAGTACTTTTGACTGATAAGATCTGTCTTTTAACAATCAAATTTGTGCATCTGTTGCATATATTTATAGAGAACCAACTCATTGGACATCTAAGCCCTATAGTGGTCAAAAGGGGACATCTCACTTTAAATGGGTTGTTTTAGGCTTGAATTTAATGCATGCGTAATAATACACCAACGGTGGGTATTGTGCAATATTTTGAAACCTCATGTAACATTTAATAATATAAATATATTTTCGTTCATTGATATGATGTACCAACATGTTTAACAATCAAACTAATACACACAAGAATTTGTAACATTTTAGTACCAACATAAATTGATATAACATATATAATAGCTCGAGTGGATTGGTACCTTAGGTAGTTCGGGTCGAAAGATTTTAAGGTTTACAACTCGAAGTGATAGGGGGACCTATGGACCACTCGTGAAGATATGCGATATAACATACATAATACTTCAGTAAACTGGGATAGTGGAGGATGAGCTCGCGATGATCTTTAAAAACATCTTCATGGTTCACGGGGGTGTTAGCGACCTTGTGGGCATATCAGCTCGTAGAGACTACGATGGACCTATGGGATCGTCCCAGCTAGACCACGAACCTTTGTTATGAACCAGCCGTCCAAGAAGCAGAAGCAGAGGTCTAGTAGCTTAACTTGAGGGTCATAAGACCTTGTAGCTCGAAAGTTACATGGGGACCTATTAACAACGCATAATGGAGCTACAAACCTCTGCAACTTTTTAATAACTTGGGGAGGTAGAGAGCTCTTCGTACCTCGCAGAATCGAGATTACCTGCTAGTAGTTTATGAGGTGTTATTGACCTAGAGACAGTCTACATGAGAAGGACTTATAGACAATTTAAGTATTAATAATCTATGAACAATATGTATGGTTGACCTCCTAACGGTATTGTAGTAGATAAAGCTGACATGTTTTATGGATGGCGTTGAGAGTTATCTAGTAAGGCTCTAGATCACCTTGGAGATAAGATTGGGTCTGGGACAGACCTTGGACAACAAGGTCCCCCAGACAACAGGATCAGATAGAA